GAACATGATCTCAATGACCCTACCTGTCATTGCAACAACGTATTTGGACAGAACCAACCAGTGGGAAACTGTGGGCTTTGACAAACGTAACAAAGCTCTCGAACACATCAAGACCGGTAGGTATTGCCACGGATACTGTGAATCCTGTTGATGGGATTTAATACATAGACTATATAAAATTAACTATAAACAAAAACATATGCCAGCCGATTCATTTAAAAGACTGACTTGTATCAGGAGGAAAAGCTAACAGAGCTCCACTAACTGGTTGTATGTTCTTGTCTGTGTTCAGGCTACCAGAATGAGCTGAATTACCTCAAAGGTGATGGGTCTTTTGCCGTGTTCACCAACGAAAAAATAAGTAGCACCTGGTGAGGCTTTCAAATATCCAGTAATTCAAATGTTTCCACACCCTCCTTTAAACTAAATTCTGACTATTTGAAGTTGGTGTATTGCATGTGCAAACAAAGGAAACTAAGCGTCTCCTCTCTTCTCTCAGGCTGACAGCCTACGTTGCCAAGGTGTTTTCCATGGCCTACAGTCTGGTGTCTGTGCGAAAGAATCACATCTGTGACGCTATAAAGTATCTGATTCTCAATACGCAGCAACCTGATGGCTTGTTTGTAGAAAAAGGGCGTGTGATCCACGGAGAGATGATTGTATGTGAACGGATTTCTTAAAACAGATAACTAAATAATAAGATGGAAACCATTACACTGGCCAAAACCTTATATAAATCAACACGTTTGTGTCTACATGTGTAGGGGGATGTTCGCGGCATGGATTCAGATGCCTCCATGACGGCCTTCTGCCTCATTGCCATGCAGGAGTCACGCGCGCTATGTGGTGACACTGTTAATGTGAGTAACTGAACAGGAGGTTTTATATTTTGCTTTTCATTTCTTTCTGATTCTACAGTAGTAATTATAGTGTTGGACACGGCCTAGGGGTTGTTTTGTTAATAGCTAGTGTGAAATTAAATCATTGACATCAATAGTATTGATGGCCACTGTTGTTAGTATGCAGACAATTTTTTTCTTGCATAGAATATTTTAACTGAGATAAAGATATTACAGAATATGTCAAAGCTACAGTAGCTAAATGTCACCACACACATCGTTCTACTTCAGCTTGATGCTGCCTCCTACTGCTCCATAAAACACAACTACATTTAGTTTATAATCACACCACAAAACAAAAGGAGCAAAGCAAACTCAGTTTCGTTGTGTATTTATTCTGTAACGTTACTGACTTAGAAAGTGACATTTCAGGACTATAACTTGCCTGCCTGAGCTCACTTTGATCCGATTATGTTCATAAATATGAAGTATAAACTATATATAAAACCGTCACAGCGTTAAAGTGTTAAAGTTAAGTTAATGTGCCTTTTTACTATTACGAGCTGCCGTTAACGGTGCAGCGGCTCCCGGTAACGTGAGCTGCTCTTTGTGTATTTGTTAAAAATGTGTGTTTGTACATTGATGTTCATAAGAAGCAGTACGTGGACCCGGGGGGAGGGGTTCAGGTGAGATGATGTTATTATATTAACATTTATATCGGTAGATATTCGACTGAATCCTATACCGCTCTTCCGCGCTGTGTGATCACCTGACTTTGCATGCTGGGATATGATGGGCCGCAAAGGATAGGTCAGATGTGTCCTTCAAATTGTTCAGAGGAGCCGATGGAATGAGACAGCTGACTTGCAGCGGAAATGACGTATGCGGTCGACGTATGCGTCCTTAAGGATGCGGCCTACCGACTTTAAGACACAGCTACAAAGATTCATTCAGGCATGAGGAGGAGGAGGAGGAGGAGGTGGTGTGTGTGTGTGTGTGTGATAAGGAGAGAGCTGCGGAAGGGAGCTAGCAAGCTAAGCTACCAACCACATGGCAGGCCACGTGTGGCCACGAGCTGGCCTGTATGGTCCTCGTCTAGGAAGAGCATAAACCTCTGTCCGTAGGTAACTATATGTGTGGAGGAACAGGTGTATTGGGTTAGTAAATCAAAAGAAAGTAAATACTCAAAGCAAAACAGAACACTGCGGAACAGTAAGGCACGATAGTGGTTAACTTTATCAGCCAATCACGTAGTTCATAAACCTACACAATCTCTTGTTAAACAAAATAGTAGACAACAAAACACATGCTAATCTTCTGCCCAGACATTACTGTGCATTGATAGGATTTGCTGGGTTTCCTCGAGTCTTGCCTCAACGCCACTCGGTCCTTTCTTGCGGGGATCGTCAGGACTGTTGGGCCTTTGTGGGCGCAAAAGCTGTTAATGCTCTTGTAACACGCAAGTGGTATCCAAGGGGGTTGAAGAACTTTCCTTCTTGGTGAGCTGATTGGGCCGGAAGTGAGGACTGGGGGAGCCGCACTGCATTGGCAAGGCCTAACCGCTGACCGCCTTAATCCATTATCCTATCATCAACAGCAGTCGATTCGGATCTCCTCAAATCAATCGTCAAGAGATAGTTTGGGAAGGAGATTTATGAGATGCTGTCTTTAACCTTGTGTTGTATAGGGCTCCTAACTGGGCCCTTTTAGTTTAGATCTCCGGGGGGCACAACCACCAGACTGAAGGATTTGGAAAAATACTTTTATTATAATTATTTTCATTAAAAAAAGGGAGCATTGACTTCTGGGCAGGAGGCGTTATTGGTTTGGCCCGTACCTGCTCACATACATGACCATGACGGTAGCAAGGCTACTATAACCACCCCAACAACACAGTACCCCAAAGTGCACAACACGTCAGTTCTATAGCACCTTAAATGCACAGTAAATCATAGTACAATATTCAGTCTAACAATTCTATGGATGCAGAATAACTAATAAATGGCACGCCAGTTCATGACACGATAAATAACATAGCTATTGCCCAACCCCATCGATGGTACAGCAATTCATGAAAAGTAAATATTATGTAAGTACATAGCGTACATGCACAGCAAACATTTCCACGTCCTGACAAGAGGCATGCAATTAGAGAAGGGACCGCCCCATCGCGTGTCCCCCTACAGGTCAATGTCACCGGTAAAAAGAAGGAAAAAAAACGGTCGGCGTCTCAAATTACAGTCCCGCAATCAGTCCCATCCTTTCGGATCACAGCTGTCCAACTCTGGGTCAATCATCTCCAGGCCTTTTACATTTGCCCATTCCACACCCGCCAATTACATTAACAATGGTTACCACACCCCGTATGTGACACTTGGAAAGGGATTTGAAGAGGCTCTGTTGTCTTATCCTATCCTGAAGTCCAAGATTGCGCCGACAATGGCTGCCACGGTGCTTCGTTGCGCTTCGTTTTTGTCGTTTCCTATTAAGATTCCTGGAGCTCTTTCAGCAGATATATATATATATATATATATATATATACCAGACTCCGCTCCAGCGGGTGGCCTTCCAGCTGCTCAGAGCGGACTGCGACACGAAGCTCTCCAGCAAAACGAAGGGTGGAGGAATCTGCTTCTTCTTCAACACCAGCTGGTGCAATGACGTAACAGTGATCCTACAACACTGTTCTCCTCAACTGCAAACCCTTTTACTCCCGCTGTGAGTTCGCTTCATTCATCCTGGTCGGTGTTTACATGCCGCCGGCGGGCAACATGCACGAGGTCACTGACCAGATACGGCGAGTGGAGCGGACCAACCCGGACTCCTTAGTTATTGTCCTCTTGGACTAACAAAAGGTAATCTCACCCATGAACTTCCTTTGTACAAACAGTTTATTAAAAGCCCCACCAGAGAGAAGAACACGCTGGTTACCTGTTACACGACAGTAAGCAGGGCTTATCACGCCGTCCCTCGTGCTGCGCTGGGACACTCTGACCACGTCATGGTCCACTTGATTCCTGCATACAGGCAAAAACTAAAACTCTGCAAACCTGTGGTGAGGGAATTCAAGAAGTGGACCAGTGAGGTGTTGGAGCTGTCCGACAGGAAGCAGCACGTGAGGCTGGGGAAACTTGTCTCAGCCTCCCGGACCATCAGCACCGGTTCCCCCCAAGACTGCGTTCTTTGCCCTTTGTTCTTCTCCCTGTACACCAACAGCTGCACCTCCAGCCACCAGTCCCTCAAGCTCCTGAGGTTTGCGTATGGCACCACCCTCATTGGACTGATCTCTGGTGGGGATGAGTCCGCCTACAGGTGGGAGTCTGACGATCTGGTGTCGTGGTGCAGCCAGAACAACCTGGAGTTTAACGCCCTAAAGACAGTGGAGATGGTTGTGGATTTCAGGAAGAACAGAGTCCCACCCTCCCCCATCATCCTGGGCGACTTTGGATTCCTTCCGTTTCCTGGGCTCCATCATCACTCAGGACCTCAAGTGGGAGCTGAACATCAGCTCCATCACAAAGAAGGCTCAGCAGAGGTTGTTCTTCCTGAGGCAGCTGAAGAAAATCAACCTGCCAAAGACGATGATGGTCCACTTCTACACAGCCATCAAGTCCATCCTCTGCTCCTCTATCACCGTCTGGTACGCTGCAGCCACAGCCAAGGACAAGGGCAGGCTGGAGTGTGTCATCCGCTCTGCAGAGAGGGTGATCAGCTGCAATCTGCCGTCTCTCCAGAACTTGTTCCCTTCTAGGACCTCGAAGCAAGCTAAAAAGATCGTAGCCGACCCCTCTCACCCCCGAAAAAAACGGTTTGTGCCCCTTTCATCTGGCAGGAGGCTGCAGTCCATCAGGACCATGACCTCCCACCACATGAACAGTTTCTTCCTGTCGGCAGAGCCCGGTCCTCCACAGACTGACTCTGACATCCCACCGGTCACTTTCTTTCACACTGCGCACGTCGCTTTCTGTTGGCTGGTGCACTTTATTCTTTATTTTTAAATCAACCCATAGCCATACCATTGTCGTAGTGTCTGCTGTTATGCACCAACCGCCAAGTCAAATTCCTTGTAGGTCTGACATATTTTGGCAAGCAGCTGCGATGCATTCAAAAGTCAGCCTTGGTTTTATGCTATGGTGGGAGCCCAACACTAGTGATGAATAAAACAACTCATTTGGATGGGAAAGTAAGTAATTTATTGTAAAGTTCTGCCTCTCTAATTCTCTCCTACAGAGTTTACCAAGCAAAATGCTGTTTACAATAGCCACTGGCATATTAGGAAAACTGTAATTCTGTACTAGCTAAGCTTCAATAGTTCTGTGAGTTGGTTCAAGAGGGCATTGTGTTGCATTATAGTGCTAGTTTGTACATTATTTAAAAAATCCTGTATGAACACTGCTTCAACAAACTGTTGAGTCCTAGTTACAAATGATAAACTGATTGCAGTTGCTCTTCAAGGGGAGGGGTTTATTGAAAAGTCACTTGAGATAAAGTGATTCATTCAAACCATGTGACGTGTTAAAAATGTCTGACTTTTGTAGGGCAGTAGGATAGCTAATATGAAGCACGAGAGGGTGAAAGTTGGGACAGTTTGGTCATGGATAATGTCCCAGGATCAAATGTTTCCACATTCCTGAATAGAGTTGAATATCTGAAATGACTGCTGATCCGACTGT